CAGCCAGCTGGGCCAATGGTCCCGCAGCTGGAGATCGCAGGGGCTGCTCTCTCTCAGGGCCGTGGCTTGCGGGAAGGCTGGCCTGCTCAGCAGAGGCTCTGGCTGGCTGCTCCCAGCGGGGATTCCAGGCTTCCCTGTGCGGTTCCCCGACCACGTGTACCTCGGACGGGGCCAGCCAGGGAAAGGGACTTCCTGGCCGCGCTTCTCCCAGAGGGTGGGGCGCCTGGGCACAGGGCCAATCAGGAGCCCTGCGAGGGGGCAAATCCGCATGAGAGAGAAAGAGAGAGAGAGAAGCACAAGTGCCTCTCTCTGTCTCTCTCTACAAATGGCGGAGGACGCTCGGAGCTGCAGGGGAAGGCTCAAAAGTGTCCCCAAAACATCTTGCTCCATCGCCCCCCTATCGCCCCCTTTTCATTCCATCGCCCCCATGCCGCCCCTTTTCATTCCATCGCCCCCCTGAAAAATGAAATCGCCCCCTGGGGGGCGGTACCGCCCAGGTTAAGAACCACTGTTGTAGATGACTCTGTTTTGTTTTCTTCTGGAGCGGCTTTACTTCTTGCCTGCGCAATAAAGACACAGTGATTTCTGGATCACTTTGTGTCCTTTGCAGTCGATAGGATGGCTTGTGCTTCAGGGAGAGAGAAAAAATGAAGGAAGTCAACACCTCCTTTTGCATGGGGGGGCGTGTTTCTTCCCTCTTCCCCTCGGCTCTCTCCTCCCCCCACTTGAAGCTCAGCAGGCATGAGGAGAAGCAGTCAAAGAGGAAGGAAGGATTGCAAGCCCCCCACTGCACAAAGAGCCCCTGGTGCCCCTCCCCCCACTTCTCCCCTAGGGTTCCCCTCTGCCTCCAGCTCATCCTGGCGAAGGAGCCTTTTTTGCCTGGATAGCCCCAGCTGCCCTTTTCCTTCTCCCCCTCCCCTCCAGTCCTTCCTGGAGAGAAATCCCCCATTTCTCCAGGGTGCCCCAATTCCTGCTCTGGGCTCCTTCCCTGTTTCTCTCTCCTGCCTCGGAGCTGATGGGCCAGAGAGGCTGAGCTGAGCCGGATCTTCCCCTGAAGAGCAATCCATCAGAGGTAGCCCAGGATCCCCACACGACCACCTTGGAAACAGTCTGAGGATTAATTCCCCACCTCCAACGATCCTGCTGGTCTTGGTTCTCAGGTATCCCTGAAGCCCAGAGTATTGTGCCTTAAAGAGCAGCAAGAATCGGCAACAATCACACTCACCCCTGATGTTTGCTGCAACAACAGTGATTGCATCTCATCTTCTGTATCTTGCACAGGGGAGTCAGATTATGGCAGCTTGTCGCTTCCAGATAGAAATTATTTCTGTGTCTCTTCCATCGGCCTGAGAGATGGCAAAAAGAGAAGACAGTTTGTTTATTGGGGGGGGCAGCAACTCCTGCCTCAGATGGAGAAGGATTTATTCTGAAGACCTCCATAGGGACCTGCACTGGACCTCCATCAATGATGCTAAATCTCTTGGAATCCTATTGTGGGCACGATGGTGTTTCCCCACATATTCTGGGCTCAGAAGTTCTTAATTCAGCTGTCACAGCTTTTGTGACCTAATCTTAAGCTAGCCAGATCTAAGAACCAGCAACCTTTGGGCTGATCTTGAAAGGCTAAACTGGGTCTGGCTGGGCCAGACAATCACAAGTCAATCGGAACAGAGACCCGTCCTGGAAGAAGGAAGTGGCAAAGCACTTCCAAATCCTGGCTGAGAAAATGACAAGGAAGTGCTGAGATGCACATGGTGGAACTCAATGGAGGAGACACGTCCTGCCTCCTTCCTCCCTCTTGTGTCTCCTGCTCTGAGCAGGAGCAGAAGAAGAAGCAGGAGCTTCCCCCGCTGGACCAGCAAACGGGCTGCACAAACAAGCAAAGCTCCATCCATGGGATGCCGGCAGTATTGAAAACCACACCCCCTCTGGTCCACGGATAAACCTTTCTTCATGGCACCGGTCCCTGGTGCCCAAAAGGTTGGGGATCTCTGATTTCAGGGACTTTTCCTGGACTCCTGAGCTGCTGATATTTGCTCCTCTGAAGCAAGTCCATTGAGGCCATAGAGATGGTTCCGCCCCAGGCGCCTGATGGACCCGGAGAGGTTCCTGACGGAGCTTGGGCCATATCCTGAGGACCTAGTTCACGATTCGGTTGACAATCTGGCGGCGGCCTGGGAGACGGCCGCTGCCGCAGCATTGGACCGAGTCGTGCCTTTGCGGCCTCTGACCCGGCGCAGATCTCAATTGGCTCCCTGGTTTACCG